CTTAATTTCATTATTATTAGTGGGAGTAGTAGTACCAGTAATTGTTATTATAATCATTAGGGATAGCTCAGATCTGTAGTTTAAACCCCTCCATAAGCCTTCAAAACACTTGTTGCTCATTTGGCGCTTCTTCTGCTGCTCACAGCCCATCTTTGTCACCATGTTGACCTCTTTTCAGGCTCACATCTCTCAGAACCGTCTCCCACGCTGTTTGGCTAAGAACTCCTGCTAAATATAGAGCATAGCCAATAGGGCTGACGTAACAACAGAAACACAAACCTGGAATGAAGCTGAGCCTACAAACATTCTCAAATTCACTTGCTGCAGAGCACTAACATTTTCCAATCTGATTTCGTTTCCACACCATTTTACCACCTATAAACATCAGGAGTAGCAAATATAAAGATGCACAAACCACAAATGCACTCATAATTGTTAATGTCATATCATTTTATTGTCATCAGATATGTTTTAATATCTCCCAGAGTCCAATAAACCACCTTCAGGTTAAAAGGAGAAGTCATAAAGTTAACTGAGCCCACATGCATTGCAGTAAAAAAAGTGTTTTAGAGTCAGCAGTCTGTCATAAGACCTGCTCCTTCTCATAAACCTCTCCCTTGGCAGCTCAGTTTTACTCCCCGGCACCTGTTCCTCTGGATTGACAAGACACTGTTAACTTGCTAATTATTAGAAAGACAGCAACCTGCAATGCACCACCTGTGGAACAAAGCATCGCATGTTGGCACCTAATCACACGCTGAGAACACTGAAACTACGCCAATGTTAAGAGGAAAATAAACACCATCATCATTCCAGTTAGGGAAGTGTAAAGACCCCTAAGTAAGTCGTCGGGGGTTAGCTTTCAATATGTGCTCAACTTGTTTTCAGTTGTGAATCGTTATTGTCAGGTTTAGATATAGAAGACTATATGGTGTGATTTAAGCAGCAAAACTTTAATAGTAATTAAAAAAACAACAGAAAATAAACTAAAATGATGAATGTAATATTTAAGACAAATGTTCAAACTAAATCCAGGAAAAAAAAAGGTTTTCTGAATAAAGAAAAACAAATTATAGTTACATTAGTTGTCTCAACTGAAGGGGTAAGTTGAATAAATTTTTGCTTTATTTAAATTGAAATATAAGCTGTAAATATTTGTTAGTCAGAAGATTTTTTGTATCTTTGTTTGAATCCAAAATGGTGGTTCTAGAAGGTGAAGTGACTGCTGGAAAACAAACAGGTTTAAACTGACTGTCCCTAATCTCAAAACAGGTTAAGATTTTCAGAGTGGTTAAAGGTGAACCAGATTATTATTCACTTCGTATAATAATAGGAGTAGGATGTGCCATCAGTGATCACTCTTTGTGAAATGTGCTGACATACCGTTATTGATTTTTATTCTGCCTTTCATTTCTAATCAGCTAGTGAATCCAACCAGAAATGCTTTACATGTTCCAATCTCTGCCTACGTTTAACATCAGAGGATCAATTATGAGACACCATCTCTTACCTTTAATAAAACATTATTAGCTTCTACTTTAACAATTACACAATGAATATGTGATAAAAATGTAAAGGTAAAAAATAGTGTTTGCATAAAAGAAGTTCATTCTGCTTATTTGTATAATGCCAAAAAAAAAAAAAAAAAAAAGCGTTATCTCAAGGCATTTAATTCAATCCGCAAAACACAATGCTACTTTTTAGATGACTGTCATTTCAAGATGGAAAAAGCTTATTTTTTCTAATGATTTCTCTCAAACTAACCATTAGCCTCAGCCTAGTAAAAGTCTCTTTATGATTTACACTAAAGAGATATGAAGGATAATCATATGCAGTGGATAATGTAATAACAGCTCATGGTTTGTGTACTAAATTTATGTAGAGCTTCTCTAGTCATAAATATACCTCAAAGCGATTCACACAAAAACCACATTCACCCAAACACATTTAAACATGCAGATCAGTAGGTTACTTTTGTTTGAACATTTTGTCAAAGGGTACATTGATATTTTACAAGGGAAAACCAGTATTAAACTAACAACTTTTCGATTTTCGATTCCCTTAAGTAACATTATAAGAAAAATTATACAGAGTAAGATACAGACCTCACATGTTAAATACTCTAAATGGTTAGGATTTCATAGGTATCCTTAAGGCAACCTTGCTTCCTCTGAATCTACTTCACTGCAAGTAAGTTAGTTTAAAAAGAACTTGACTTCTCAGTGACAAACCCCTTAAAATACCCTACCCTTCATTAACATATGGCGGTCTGCGTAAGCCTCAAGCTGTTATCAGCAACTGCAGGCATGGACTCCTTACCACTGCAGCCCTATGAAAGGGGAAACATGCAGACAGCAGGCTTCAAACTAAATGACATGAGGAAATGAAAATGCTAAGTGTCTTCTCAGGTGGCAGACTTGAGTTAACACAAAACTGCAAACACAAGGCCATATTGAAAACAGCTTTTTACTTTTTGGATGACAGCACAGTTGTCTGCCATGGATAGGTTAACTTATCTTTAAAAGGTTTGTGACTATAAAATACAGACACTTATTAGAATGCACAAGGCTGATCTGGAATCCAGGTGCAATTTAATTGGGGGAGTAAAGTAATTGGAAAGCATTTGTTTTTATAAATGTACAGATCATCTTTAGATCACACTTAGAGTGCACATCCCTGCTTATTTTGTTCCCTCATTGTGCCTTTTCTGTGTGAAGCACAGTAATGTTGTTAGAAGTTACTGCCTTGAATTATATTAGAATAGAGCTTAATTTATGCATATGTATACAGTATATATATATATATATATATATATATATATATATATATATATATATATATATATATATATATATATATTTATATATGCATGGGACCTTGAGGGTTCTTTGCAGAATCTTAGCTGTCCCTGGAACTGCACATTTCTGGACTAAGATGTCACATGTTTCTCCAAGATATCTGCCCTGAATACTCTGATAATGATGGGCACTATAAGATTCTTCGCCTTCCAGGCTCTCACTGGTTCTTCCCTGAGGCCTTGGTATTTTTCCAATTTCTCAAGTTCTTTCTTTCCTGATGTTACCATCATTTGGGATGGCAACATCGGTCACTGTGTCTGTCCTCTGCTGCTTATGTTATGATCTTGGTACTGGTGTCTGGTCTGGTTACTCTTTTTATTCACCTATTTTGCTCCAACCAGTTCTCATTACCACTCATCTGATCCACCTGCTTAAGTGTCTATTTAACCAGCCTTGAGACCAGTCATCAGTGCTAGATTATTTTGAGCCAGTGGTTAGAACTTCTTTTGTTTTCTTCTATTTCTGAATGCTTGATCCTGCCCCTTTCTGTCTCTCGACCTTTGAGCCTGCCTGTCCCCATTCTGATCTGTTTGCCTGATATGTCTTCGGACTCCTGCCGGATCTCTGCCTGTCTGTGAACTGAGCCTGTTACTGTTTTTCCAACCCCGTTTTGGATTCTTCCCTGGTACCTCTTTGCATCTCTGAGCTCCTGGCTCTGACAACCAAGCACGTCACCAACAACGTCTTTGGCTTTCTGATTCTGATCCCCTGCCTTTCCTCCAATCATGGATACATCAGGGTCTTGGACTCTCGGGATGTCGCCCACCGTGCCTTGTTGTCAACCGACCGGCTGGAAGCAATCTCACCCTCTGAGATTGGACTGAATTATAAGACCAGGTTAGTGACTCACATGTTTATCATTCACCTCCAGATGAGACATGGTCACTAACCTGTTGGCTCCTCCTGCAGAGGTTCCTGCCTTAGACGCTGACGCTGTTCACTGCATTTCCGTTTCCAATAAATGTTTTAAGAAATCTGTTTGTCCACCAGGTTGGATGGCCACAACCATTTTCTGTATCTGGAAGCCAGACAGGATCTTAACTCTTTCATTCTCCACCACATTGGGGTGTGGGAATCCCAATTTGACCTGGGGGTCTCCAGTGTGTATTCTGCACAAAAGTTTCTGTATACTATACCAGCCACTGGGTTATGATGTTCCACCTATTCCTTTCCTGCCAGTGTCTCACACCCTTCTGTGAGATAGTGGATTGTTTCTTGGTCCTCTTTTATACTTGGTGATGTTTTCTTGCTATAGTGACATCTGCAAACTTTGATAGATTCTAAGCCTATAAATATGTTTATATTTTAACCTAGACATATCAAACATTTATGGTGCAAGTTGTGAATGTTCTTTTTCTTGGCATATTAAATAATCCATCATTAATGTGGAGGAGATCAAATGGTTCCCATATTAACAGAAATTATTCTGGGATGTTTTCCTGAAGTCTGACTTTTTACAGTAGACTCTATCTCCAAATAACTAGACATACTTAAGGAAATACATTCTAAAAATCGAGGCCCAAATCTATCAACTATTGGTTATGATAAATTTGTTGTAATAATGTCACAGGTAGAGCTCCTTAGACTGAAGCCAATGTTCAAATAAGAGAACTTAATGTTGGCAACAGCTTTAGCTGTATTGGGTCAGTACATACTGTACTGTTGTTCTTGACAAAAGCTTCATGTAAAACCAAATAAACAGATTCTCATTCCCAACTGTCAGTATCTGAAAAAAATAGATCTAAGTTAGGAAAATAACAGTGAGTTTATTTTTCACATATCAGGGTTATGAAAGTGGAGTTTAGTAAAGAAATATAATATACTGTAGTAAAATATTTTCTCATTCCTGTTGCCAGACGTGGGCCAGCCAATTAAACCTTTGACACCAAACCCACAGTTAAACATAGTTTGGTAACCAAGCACATGTGCCTAAGGTGTATGACTGTAGATTTACTGAAGGATTAAAAACATATTGGGCCTGAACTGTTCTCATTCCGTGGCGTCTCCAGAGAGGTTTTTCATCTAAAATCACATAATTTCTTCCTTTGGATGTTTTTGTTTTCACCATACAACCAGCATTTCTGGAACATTTACAGTAAATAAATCACCAAACACAACAAAATATACGTAGAGAACTTTATTGAATATATCTATATATTTATATCTTATATATGCCTTGTGTTTTTGTTTTTTTTGTCATTTCCAGAGAGGATCTGAATAATGTATTGCTTCCCTTTGTCATTAGTGTCCCTTTCTTGAATTTATCTGCTGAAAGGAAATATGAAGGTTCATCTCTGAATAGTTTCAATTCAGACTTGCGTCGGTAGCCAAAGTGCTGGGAAGGGAACTCAGTTTTACATTGGCTTTAGAATGGCTTTAACATCAGTACATTAACATAAAATACAAAAAATAAAATCGAGCAGTTCTTACAAACACTTCACAAAGATATGTAACTTTAGACACATGTCAGTAGGCATGGAGTGGGACCAGCTATCCAGAAATATCAAGGATTGAGAATATTACAGTTTCAAAACCACTAAAATATCAGACCTTTTCTACAATTTAAAACATTTGAATGGCAGAGAAAGTGCCAGAGAGATTCTCCTTTTTGTATAAAACACGATGTAATACGCAGCTAATACCCCTCCCCTACATGTTGCTGTGAATCTGGAATGCTGAAAGAAACCTCCAAACTTTTCCTTTCCCTGCAAGAAAAAAATAATAAAGACTGAAGGACTCTGACCCATTACTATGGTATTTTTATAGCAGTAATAGTGACATCTATTACTGCTACAAAAAATAAAGACTATCTATAGTCTTCTGCTTTGAATGAAACTAGCTATTATTATCTAGCAGTTTCATGAAACTATAATATTTTTACTGGGCCATGCCTACATCACAGTATTTACATACATTTCTCCATTAGAAAGAACAGACATACTTTGTTGTACATAACATTTACTCTCTGAAGACATTTAGCATCACCAACACAGACCACAGGTAGCTCATTTCGCCAGCACTAAGGTTATCAACTATCTGTTGCAGCAACTGGTGTCACCTGTTAAGTCCCAAGATACAAGTGCTGGAACTCTAAAACAATAGAACATTAAGAATATCTATTCATACCACCACCAAAATAAATATATTGATATAAACTCTATCACCTACAGGTATACACTGGTGAGAACAATAAAAAACACTGATTTTTAGGCTACGTTGGTTATGTGTCAATTGATCTATGCATTTCCTACAAGGAAATAATAACAAGATGAGTGGAAGAAAGACAAGAAATGTATAAAAACAGACGCTAACCAAAAATAATTAAGAAATATATACTTAAGAGAAAAAAGTGAAGAAATAGAGAAAAAATGCCAACACTGTTAATTGACAGAAATAATCCAATAAATATAAAAAAGTGAAACCCATTAGAGAGAAAGCTTTTACACTTCCACTAAATTATAGATTAAAAAAGTAGAAAAAAAAAATGAATTAAAAACAAACAAATATGTGCCCGTTTATCGCCATAAAATGATTAAAACCATACATGGTTTGAAGGAAAATAACAAAAGCTGTAAAACAAAATGCTGTGCTTTTGAGCACAGCAAGTAACCCCGAGTTGATCCAGTTTTATAAACGAGTCAGACACTGCGGTTGTTAATGGGCAGCCTCCAGTCTCAGTGTGCTTGGCCAAAGCACAGCATTGATCAAATAGAGCATGCTCAGTCAACTCTCCCAGCACAAACAAATGCAAAAACAACAATAAAGATAATATTGAACAAAAATAACAAATGTAGACCAAATAACCTATCTCTCTACACCCACTTTATGCAAAACTACTTATTTTTGCATTAAAACAGCAGAATAAATATATGAAGAGGATTTGGAAAATTAAAAAAAGAACATTTCAAAATATAAAAATACCCTGCAACAACCAGTTTGATCATAGAACACTTAAGAAGTTACAATCTCCTGAAACCTAGAGACGATGCTCACTTACCATGTTCACTAAAAAAATGTCAAAACTCAAAGTTTATCTTCAACAGACATGAAATGTTTTTATACTTTAATAGTTAGATATTATATTTTATTTTACATTTATTATTCTACTTTGTAAAACAGTATATAGTTAGAGCTATAGAAAGACAGAGGGAAGAGGAACTATAGAACTTTTTTCTGCCTTCTTAATAACAAGTGTTGGGTTTATTAGTTCATTTAAAAGTGCATTTGGGTTTCCATACAACCCTGTGGCCATTCAAACAATACTAGAGAAATATTTCTGGGGAATCCAATTATGGTAATACACATCCTGTAAAATGTGTTCACCTAAAATTCAACTAAATTCTTTCACTACTCGTATTCAATAATGTATTTGATACTACTTTTTCCACACTTACTCGAATAAGTCAATATTTCATTGTGGGCTACACCTGAAAGTAATTTCCAACCTTTGACGCTAAATAAAATGTCACCCCCTGAGAGTAAATTGATTCCAACCCCATCCCTCATGCCTGCCTTATCAGCCCTTAGCAAGAACATTCAACAGATGCTGCCTTTGAGCCTTCAGTATCTAATTATTTTCATAAGCAGTCATAAAAAGCCCTAAAGCATTTTAAGCAATTAAATATCACACAATGTGCACAACATTCCCTCTATGAAAGTTAAACTTTCATTGACTTGGAGCTTCCTGGTGACACACAATGATCATAATTTATGAGCAGAGTCAAAAGTGCAGCTGCTCATTCGTTTTCACTGCAGTTATGATCACTCCCTAACTAAATAATATACAGTATTTTGCTAGAAGCCTTCTCATCCTAAGCTCTACTTGTACAATATGCTGGATATGTTCATATTTCACAGAAAGGAATCACCTAATATGAAAACAGTATAGAATACTAATAAACCTAATGTGAAACTAAGGTAAGACTTAAGGTATATATACATTTTAACAGTCCCTTGTTTAAACAACAGATCAGATAAATTCATATATCTGGTGAAATTATTTGTTTAAACACTAGGTTCTTAATATCCCTAAACATTTTCACATTTTCATTCAACATACAATTATATATTGTATTGTATTTTCCTCAAAATTTTGTGTGACTGATAAACAAAAGGTTGTGCAGGACCAAACAAAACTCAAATAAAATTAATAATCATCATTCTGTGACCACACTGCTTCAATCTGTGGACAATGATGGGAATTTTTGGTTTTTCCGTATGTTATTTGGCCATCATCAAACACTCTAATGCCACCATAGCACCTTTCTAATCCTGTTCTTCAGATTTTCTGCACATGTGGCCTACAGTAACTTTCATTTAACGGTGGCTTTTTTCTTAAAACTCTTAAAAAAGGCAGATATGAATAAATTATGTCATACTCTGTGGACCAGAGGTCAAGTAGCCACTAATGATCTAGAATTGGTCCCTGAAAAGCTGAAAAGCTTTTCACGTGGCAAAAATTATGACATTATGTTCCTTGAAACAGATATGTGAAAAAACTATGGCTTTTATCATCTTGGCACATATTATTGGTGATTTCTGAGTGTTTCAGGACTATTGTGAACATTTTAAAACCGAATGGGACAATTGAATTAGTAATTGTCTTTGGAAAGTACAGATTTAAGCCAGGGGAAAGTTAAGGTAAAACTGTACTGTTTAGCTGTATTGGCCGTTTTGTATAATACTTTGGATGAAAAGCAAAAGGAGATCAAGGTAAACTAGAGAAAACTTACTTAAAAATGTTATTATTATATTGCACAGTAGTTTTAAGGCAGTTGTAATACATGTGCACACAGTATTAGGTGTTTTATGACTGTTTATGATACATTTATATTGTATCTATGGCAGTTAGATACCCCAGACTCAAGGACATTAACCCTTACTGTTGAAATGTTGCCCACCCGTTTGAAGCCCTACCTTTTTGAACATCTCCAGGACTTTGTAGCCCTCCTCTGTGAGGTTTCATTTTAAACAGGAGTTGTTTTCCTGTTAAGTGTATCGGAGTTGCTATCTCTGTCCCTTTTGGCTGTCAGTCGATCCAGGGTTCCCACGTTTCCCCTGTCTCGCTCCATTGTAGCTGTTGAAATTGGGGCTGACTGTGCTGTTGCAGCAGCGGAGGTGGAGGTATTCAATGGCGCTGCATTGGCAGCAGCTGCCGCTGCCGCTAGGTTGGACTTGGAGTGAGATGGGAGTGTACCACTGCTTATCGCTGCTCCTCCTCCTGCTCCTCCACCACTGCCACTGGAATCTTTTGGGAAGTAATTGTGAAGCTGATAGAGCGTGGCCCGGTCCACTGTGCCATAGAGAGGCGGGGCACCTCCTCCCAGGCTGCCCAGCTTGGAGTCCCTTGAAAGGGTATACATGGAGATATCCCCACCCCCACCACTCCCACCACTGCTGGTGTGGTGTGGGTTGGGCAGAGTGGCAACGGAGAAAGGTGGAGCAGACGGGGGAAGGGCGAAGGTCTTGGAAGCTCCAACAGGTGAGGTCTCCTGTGAACGAGTCGGGTCGGTAGACCGGGAGCTAGAGCGGGAGCGTCGCCTGAAACGGTAGCTAGGCAGACGCAGCATGGCATGGGTGGTGCTCTTGAACAGGTCAGTACGAGAGCGGCAACGCAGCTCTTTGTTCTTCTCGATGTAGATGTTAACAGCCAGGACTCCAACCATCTCCGCCAGGATAAAGGACAGACCACCAAAGTAAAAGGACCAGCCATAGGAGTAGTGCCACTTTTTATCCTCATCTTTCTTTGGAGAAATGTCGCTGAGGGCTGCTGAGATGTACACTATTACGCCAATTATGTTGCTAAGCCCTAAGGAGATACACAAACATCTAATGTTTCCTTTGAGACAAATCATTCTCAGCTTTACATAACTGTTTTGCCTGTTGACATACTGAAAAAAAACTTACTGTAATTTAGATAGGAAAAGGCAGACTTAATAAGAATTTCATTGTATGTTTCACAGATAGGTACATCATTAACAGATGTATCGCTATGAATAGTTAATTCTACTACACTGTATGGAAATACCCGCAGCAAAGATGCATTCTTACCAGCTGCTACAAAAAGGATTCCTCCACCGAGAATAATGTTCCTTTTGCTCTTATAGAAGCCACTGGAAGCAACGCAGACTCCTCCCAAAAGGAGCAATATGGCACTGAGGATTGGAAAGATACTGGAAGCTCTAACCACACCTGCAGACAACAGAAGAAAAATCAAACAACATTTTTAAGATTCTGTTTCTCACAAAGGTTCACTAAAATTAGGAGCTATAAAAACCAAAAAGCACCCTCCTACAGAAGGCAAAGAGCTACCCTAATATTGCCAGTAAACATCCAGTGCTTTGAGAGAAAGCCTGGTAGAAGGTGTGATTGTCAGACTGGACCAAAGAGGTTTTCTGGCTTTACTTCAAGCCACTGCACTTGGAAGAAGAAGAAGGTTGAGAATGTTCAGAAAATGTCGATGACCTCGATGATATGCAAAGAGGTGGAAATGTTAACCTCAAGCAGAGATTTATGTTAAGATGGAAAAACAGTAATAATGTTACGAGGACAATGGACGGGTCAACATAAATGCCCGGTTAACATCAGTCAGGACAGTGAAGATGATTTGAGCCAACTCTAGAATAAATTAGGAAAAAACCCAATGTTATTCTGGTTTATTTTTATTATTCTATGATTTTATCAATGCAAGGTAATGCATCTGTCAATTTTCTTTGGCACCATCTTGAGAAATAACAAGAAATAAACCATGTGTTACATGCTTTTCAATTGAATACAATGTTACATTAAAGAGATTTCAATAAAGAACAAGATTTTCTTTTAAATAGATATATTTAAATAACATTAATACATGAATACAATCCTTCAATCCATCTGTGAAAAACTCAACCTTGTGTAAATCCCCAGACTACCAACCTCCTAAACATGGACATCCATATCCCTGCACAGAGACAAACTTACAAACACCTTCAGAGACACTTTGCTTTGAAATGACATCTGTGCATTGATGTCCTCCCACTATCCCCTTCTGTCATTTCCGTATTGTGTGTGATTAAAACCATTGTGTGTGTCTGTCGTTTGCTGTGCCGTGTGTGGGTATGCTATTGAGCTGTTATCTAATGTCTGAATGCATTTTTTTGTGTAAATGTAAGGTGCATTCTGTAAGCGTTACTCACGAAGCAGATACTCTGCAGCATCTTGGTCATAGTCTGCGTCGTCAGGAAAATGATTGATCTGGGAACACACACCTCTCTTCAAGCCTGACAGCAATAAAGAAGAGAAAGAGACAAGACAACGATGAAGGATACAGATAAACACTTTGTACAAAACTGTTAGATAGGCTATATTTTCAAAATAAAAATTTATGTAGAAGAATTGCTCTGACTCAAGTTCCATTAAACGTAAACAAATCTCAGACTTGGATACTTAAATGAGCGGAACTGAGGTTTTATTTTACTTTAGATGGTTAATTGATTTATTTTTTTTTTCAGACCACAGTACATATGGTGAAGTTTCTATCTATATATAAGCCTATCTTTCTCTCCCTTTCTCACAGTTGTAATTATAGTCTTTTACCCTTTTGAGAAAAAGAAGGGTTTGGAAAAGACTAAATGAATTTGTCTCACGCATTTACTCTGTTTAAGTTTTTGCTATAAAAATTGCAAAAGAAACAAATGTGTAGAGTAGCATGGTATAACTTTATACCTAATACTCTTCCTAAATACTGAACACAACAGTAGTATCAAGAATATCGATAAAAAAGTTTTAGATAATTCTGTGTCTGCAAAAACAACAGCTATTTTATGCTCAGATTTAGGTCTAGACCTGCTTTAGCTGAAAAAAAAAACAATTTCAGTCTAGAATATTTTGCATCTGAATGGTATAAGCTCTCCGCAGGATTGGTTCTGCATGCTTAATATGTTTTCTTTGTTCAACACAGCAAATTTAAATGAGCCAACAGTTCTCTGCAGACTTCAACAATGTACTAGCAAGTAGTACATTAGTGTTGGAAGAGAAAGAGATCTAAAACATGCAGAGCAGCAGCGCTAGTGGGTCGGATTTGGAAACACACATGTAGAATATTTTTTCCTTAATTGATCTCTAATATGTTTAGCTTGAAGCTTGTGTCTTCCATGAAAAATTCATACAGTTTTGGTAAGATAACAAAGGACTTAGTGTAGAAGATCTTTAGGCATGTTGCACTAAGTGGAATGTTTTAAGGACTGGTACCAACAACTTGGATGGGTTTACAAATGCTCTGCTGTCCTACATTAGCAGCTGTTAGGACAGCAGCACAACATGTACCAGGGTCAGTTACAACAATGATAAACACAGTTCACAGGTAACTCAAACAAGTAAGGAAGGAAAAGAAGAAGGTATTTAAAAAGAGCTGTTGAGGTTGTTAACCTACAGGTTTAGAAGGGAAGGTGTGAGATCTCAAAATACTGTTCTCAAAAACCACTGGTTCTCTGAAAACAACAATTGGAGGGGAGGGGTTCAAACAGATCATAATCAATAAATTCAAAGCCTCCCATCTTATCAAGTGAGAAGGACCACTTGTGTCTTAAAACCAATAAGACCAAGGAGATGGTGATCGACTTCAGGAGAAGACCCCCTCTTCACTCCCCCATGAACATCCAGGTGCAGGACATAGAAACGGTGGAGAGTTTTAAATACCTAAGTTTTCATGTCAATAATAAACTGGACTGGACTCATAACACCGGCGCCCTGTAAGAAGAGCCAGAACCGCTTTAACCTCCTGCGGAGGCTGAGGTCCATTTGGAGTGAGCAGGCCCCTGCTTAAAACGTTCTACGACTCTGTGGTGGCATCAGCTCTCCTGTATGATGTTGTCTGTTGGGCCCCTTGCAGCGCAGAGTAGGACAGAAAGAGACTGAACTGGTGAGAAAGGCCGTTTCTGTCCCAGGCTGCACTCTGGACTCAGTGGAGGAAGTGGCTGAGAGGAGGGTGCTGTCCAAGCTTATATCCATCATGGACAACACCTCTCACCCCCTGCACCTGACTGTAGAGGAGCTGAGCAGCTCCTTTAGTGAAAGACTTTTACACTCTGTTTGAAAAATGGAGTGCTACCGCAGGTCATTTATCCCTGCTGCCTTCAGACTCTACAATGCGACACTGTAACAGCAATAACTTGTGAAATATATAATGTGCAATTACTATTTAATACCTCCAAGCACCTTTTCCTTCTTTTGGCACCTTTTTGACTATTTAACCTATGTAACAAGTACATTTCTCCACTGAGATCAATACGGTCAATCAAAAAAAAAAAAAAAAAATGACTTGCAAATAAGCTAAACTGGTTCTTCTGACTCTACTGAGAGTCAACAGTTAACATCCCCTGAACTTCTCCATCCAGCACCAGTGTATACCCGTTAAAGCTTGTTTATGCTTGATGCATCAAAGTTCTGCATGAAAATAAGACATGCTGAAAGTTGCTGACTCACAGTTTGTTGATTTTAATATTCTACCTGTCTTTTCCCCCTTGTAAAAACTATTCTGGCTAACCCTATGGGGGAGTCTAGCCCACAGACCCTAGGTTTAAAAAAACCCCCACTGCATATAGAAGCAGTAAATATGCATGTTTAAACATTCTCAATGCCTTTTCATGTTAAGAAAAATGCAGCTATTTTGTTCCAAAAGTTCCTCCAAATTGGAAATTATGTCACTAACCATGTTTCCACTCAACAAAAAATCTAATTTTAAGCAAATTTAAAAAAAAAGTTGCTTTCATTTGGTTTGAAGCAAATTAACAAGCACTGCAATGCAAATCTATCCATATTATGTTGCCACGCATGGCTGTATTAAACCTAAAGTAGAGGCCGCAATCTAGCTTGGACCACAGATCTGTAATTGGGGAACATTTTAGTAAGATGTGTTGCATTGGGGGAAATTGTCTTTTCTTTTATCATTCTGTTAGTAATGACAAAGTTGCTTCCAGCCATGTTTACGTGAAAATCAAGAACATCTGAGACCAAGAGCTGCAACACCAGGCCAGTCCGCCAAGTTCCTGAAGTTTGTGGATGGTACCACAATGATTGGGCTCCTCTCTTAGGGGGTTAGTTCTGGTGACGTGGTGCAGCCAGAACAGTTTGGAGCTCAGTGTTCAGAAGTACAGATTGCTGTGGAGCACAGCTTCACCCTCACCACCCTGTGCAACTTTCTCCTCCTCACTTAGAAGGGACAGCAGTGGTTGTACATATGTTGACAAATATAGAAGTTTAGCCCACCAAAGACATAAATGAGTCCATTATGTCTTCCCCTGTTAGTATCCTGCAGCCACCACCAGGGAAAAGGACAGACTGCAGCATACCATTTGATGAGGGTGATTAGCCCATTCCTTCAGAAGCTGTACACTTCCAGGACCCAGAGGCACGCAGGTAAAATTGCAGTCAGCCCCTACCAGTCTGCAGAAAAGCTGTTTCAGATTATCTGCTCCCGTAGGAGGCTGCGGCCCATCAGCACCAGAACATCAAACAACAAAAATAGTTTCTTCTCATCTGCAGCTAACCTAATAAACAAGGCCCATATCCCCCACTGTCACTGTTGCTACTAGAGGAAAAAAAAAAAAAAACAAGGATTATTCCAATCAGTTATTCCAAGCTCTACATTCCCCAAAAGCACTTCACAACCAAAACAAATTATCCTGACTAGTCAGAACTTACACAGTCTAACCGACCTCAAGAAAACTAAAATGAATAAAAATTACTCCATGAACAAAAAACAAACAAACAAAGAAAAAAAAAACATAACGAATTTAAAATAAGACCTGGTGAACGTCTGATACCTGTCAAATTTGTATGTAGGTTGTATTTGCATGAAATCAAACCAGCTTCAGCAAGGTTAACACAGACAAAAGCAACCTTCTTAAAATGTGAGGAGCAAAAAAACAGGATCGAGTTGTCTTTTGGTAGAGAGTACACAACAAAAGCATAAGAGTTATCCCATTTAGAAATGTAATTTAAAAAAATGAAAGGTAGGGGAAGTATTTCAAAGGATAAATCACATAGTCACGCACAGATTTGAGACAAATAAATGAAAAAAAAAAAATGAAATAGTGTATAAATAGACTGAGAGGCAGACAAACAATATTAAAGAATGTAGAAAATCCTGATAGAGACCTGAACTACTCATGCATGAAACAGATGCTCACAAAAACAAAGAGAAATTAAATATGTATAATGGAGCTTTAACCTGAATATGACATAGACATTTACTCTTTAACGACAAAACATAAACTCTTATGTCAATAATGGTTGTTTGATCAAACTGTACATCAACAGCAGTCTCTAGGCTTTCAAGAAGCCCAGCTTTTCTTCCATCAACATGACTGAAACTTCTTTAGAGACTTTTTTTAATCCTTGCACCAGAATATTCATCAGTTCAAGTCTTATCAACGATAAATGAAGTTAGAAGCTTTCACCATGTACTTTCTCTGGAGAGGTTACAAGTGACTCATTCGACAATCTGGTTTCAGGTTGCAGTGCAATAGATTCATTTAATCATTCTCTGAACTTTGTGTGATACATTTTATGTTTTTCTTTTACTCTTTATTGCCCCGATCTGATTCACTGCTGTGTCATGTTTACAGATGAAAACTAGGAAAAAAAATATGTTAGGTTGGACTAAAGATCACGGATCATTAAAATGGTTCTCCTTCCTAAAATGGCCTTATGTTGCTTATAGAATTGATTTTCCCATTTAATTGATAAAATCACACACATACGTACATTAATGTGAAAAATAATTAATACATTTTGACCTCCATGACCCTTTTTGCCTTTTTGGAGTTATTTAATGATGCCGCCACCTGTGGCCAAAACATAGAACTCACTCACTCTCGCTTGTTCTCGTAGCTCCGTCTCAGTCTTGACAAGGTTTTTTGTTTTACTTTTTTCACCTTACATGGAGTTGCCATTGGTGTCTGAGTTGAGCTGTATGCCAGTTGCTTCTGAGTATCCACAAAATCCAGCCTGAATGTTATGCTTCAACTGTTTGTTAGGTCAAACCCATTTAGCATGGATGCGCTTAGCGTCACATCACCTGATGTAAAAATCATGAAATAGGCTACATGCTTATAGATGTATTGGTGCTGAATTACTAAGATGTCAGTCTGTTCATTTAACAATATTTTAGTTGTAAAGGGTCATATACAAAGGCTACTTCAAAGATATTCCTTTAGTAAATACTTACACAATATCTCATTAATGTACTTGAAAGAGGCAAAATTAAAAGACCAACATTAAGTTTTTTTGATCATTCGAGTATAGCACAACTAATAAATTCACTGACTGAAGAAAAAGATAACTATTTTATTTTAAAGCAGCTTGTTTCTTCAGCACCATGGAGAGCGTAAGGAAGGCTTGCAAGTTTAAGGTGGAGGATTTGTGGAAAAAGATGCAAATCAGTCAAAACTTTTCTGTAACTAATAGATGGCTGGACGGACGAACGGCCTGCTGGACAGACAGACAGACAGACAGACAGACAGACAGACAGACAGACAGACAGACAGACAGACAGACAGGTTCAATAAGAGAGAACTAATTTTTGTTGTTTTTCAGAAGGATAAAAAGCAGTTCTGTTTATCCTCTATCCATGCAAAATGACAGCAGCAAAAAGGTTCCAATTAGATCTATCCTTCCACCATCAGTGATACATCAACATTGAATAACCAAAGAGCTGCATTAGAACAAGGCTACATTTCACATGAGTCTTTTTTGTGTGGTTATTTCTATGCTCGTAAGTCAGAGGACACCTATTTATGTCAGATATGATTACTTTGACAAGCACATTCACCTCAACAACCCCCACCACCTTACATTGGGCTCACACAAACACACAGAAGAAAAAAAAAAATAAAACCGCACATACACTCATCACACCAGACTTTTTTTCCCTTTTTTTTTTTCTCGCTAATCTGTAACACTGAAACTAGCTCTACCTTCCAAGCAGCAGATCCTCCAGAGGCCAGAGTGGGTGAGAGCCCCTGGGTCTTTCTTGTCCTTGTTGCCGGATGAGTCCTCCTGGGAGGAGTTGGCAGTACTGTTGCAGATGAATGCCCGGGCATACAGCCAATAATCTGTGCCGATGGCCACCGTCATGAGGGAAAACGCTGCGAAAGCCCCCATAGTGGTCAACAGCACCTGGATTCCTCGCTCGCACCAAACCAGCGCTGGTCGTGGAAGGAAGCTAATGTCTATTACAAAACAGGAAGAGGAAAGACATCATAATGGTTTTAATTTACAGCTGAATTTAAACAGCTTTAATAAACAGATGCGATTTCTTTTGTTTTTTATTTGAACAATTCTTTCTCACTTCTTTCTCGCTCATCATATCAAATTCTCCAACTGGTGAAGTTTTACCCTTTAGGTCAGACAGCAAACCTTGGTGTATCTTGTATTTTTTTTTTTTTAGCCACCTACAGTCTTATGAATCTTACATTAGTCAGAACTGCATAATAATTCTGTCAGTTTGAAAATATCTTATAAGTTTAGTGTTTTGATCAAAATTGCATAAATTTGCTTTCATCAAAAGATCTTAGTTCATGTTTCTCCCAGGTGATGATTAAACCATAAAAACAGGCCTTAGCTGTCACATAAATGTTAAACTTTTCACACACAAATAGAGCGATTGACCTCATGGGCACCGTGGGGATGACTGATGGGACCTGCTGATGGCATTGACTCCTTTCACTGCAATGTATGTAAGCACACTTGAGTAGCTTTTGATGAAAGCACAGCATACAGTACATGGCTCAAAGCTGTGAGGGAACGTTGGCAGAGAGCAGCCAGCTGAGAACAAAATGTCCATACTATTAGAACATGAAGTTTAATTAGAAATATGGATGCCAGACCATTGGTAATGTTAGTAATAATTTGTATGTTATCAAATGCAGTGATATAAAGTTATTCCTTTATGTTCTTGCAGATATGTTTGGTGTATAGATCTGTAACAACTAGATATGACATCAATACAGATGATGTTTTAGCTAGGACAATTTGATTCTGTTAATTAAGTTCTGTAAAAATTCTTCAGAAAAACTATAAGAAGTAAATTTTTAAGAGGAAAGCATAACTTCATCTGTTTTGACTGATAGGTATTGAATGGTAGCTGGCAGGTCAAGAATTAAAAACAAAAAACAAAGTTTTTGCTCCTTTTCATTTATAAAAATTGAATTATTAAAATTAAAATAAAAACCCTTGAAAACCTCCAAAGTTTTGTTCAGTTAAATCATTAACCTGCCATTGTTCTATGATCAATATGTTTTATTAATAATCTTACCAAGGTTAGAGACACTTGCTTAAACAGATAAAATGGTCTCAAAATTGCTATTAGTTTTTTTTTTAATTATTATTCAATAATTCCTTTACCCAATAATTTATTCTGTTTATTTACTTTATAATAAAATATTGTATTTTGGTATTTTAGTTTATTGCCAAGGTTCTTGCATTTGATAGTTAGATTATAAAGGGATTATACACATGGTTTGCTGATATGCGTTAAACTCCTGTAAAATCCTAATATTTGCATATTTTTTCAAATCAGAATCAATTCAACATTTGCACAGAGCTTTATATTAGGTTTTATTCATCAATAAAAAAATCTGTTAAAAATGACAATCATTTGCTCAGAATGTCTGGAAAATTGTGATTGTACTGAAAAAGGTCTAGCAGGGTTATCAGATACTACAAAGAGTTAATCAGCTGAGGATAAAGGGAGATTTGAACTAGAAGGTCAACAGCATGAGGGAGAGTAACAAGGTAACATTAGATAAACCTAACCATGTGCTTGAAGTTAAAAGTGGAAATTTAGCATTAATTGATGTTTTAATCAAGACAAGCAATGTGAGGTTTTCAACCTTTTTGGAAATTGATCTTCCAAGAGAGGTTTTTAATTGATGGTAATCAAAGTCCTAAAGTGCGTCAGTTGTGAGAATGTAACCCCCACCATGACAACACAAACACACACTCTCTCCAAAAAAGAAAGAAAAAAAAACCCCCAACAACCTGACCTGTTGCTCTGAAATATATATTTTTGATGGCACCATATGCATCTGTATGAAGATTAAAATATGCAAGGTTATTATCTTGAATAGTTTGAAAATCTGTAATTCAAATGATAAAACGTCATGGATATTTATTATCTATGCAATAATGTAAAAGTTCCATCCATCCATCCATCCATCCATCCATCCATCCATCCATCCATCCATCCATCCATCCATCCATCCATCCATCCATCCATCCATCCATCCGACAATTATTTTGTTGCTATGTTGACCCTGGCCAAAGAATATGAAGCAACAGGCTCTTCATACCTCTTCTCATACTTTTATACTTTTTGTGGTTATTTAAAAAAAGATTTTATCTTGCCTGTCTGAAAAGGCACAAAAGTGCTTATTTATTTATTTATTTTTTCAAATAATAGTTTTAGGTTCTTATTCCTTCTTCACAGATATAGATTTATAGACAGACAAAATGATTAAAATGAAATATATATTTTTCAAATGTTTCTCCTGTACGATGCCATTATCAAAAATTCCATTTGGAAACTACATTGTGTCCCGTTCACCATTGACACCTAAGGAACATTTTCTTTCATGGTGCTCTTGTTCTGATTGGTTCTATTTTTAGGTGATTTCAGGGATTTGACCAAACTCTGACAGGTTAAGACCATGCATGTAAACATGGCTCAAATAAAAATCAACAAAAATAACAATCCCTTATGCAGCTAAAATTGATCAGCATATTACAATATTATCTTATCAATATCTTTTATTTTAAGCCATCTGTGATTTAAAACGTAACCAAAAGCTCAGCTTCTTACACCACACCACATCTGTATGTACTAAAGTCTAAAATCAGACCTCTTGACACATCTGCAGTTTAAGGTGAGCGCCTGTATTAGTGGGGATATAAGGGTAATTTCCTGCATGACAGTTTGTCTTTCTCTGTTACCTGCTTCATTTGTGGCGTATGTGTGGATATATAAATCCAGATACATATGAGGCTGTATGTAAATGCACATGTGTGTGCAAGTGTGTTACCTGAGGGTATGCTTCTCCCTTTCGTCTCCATCTTCTGTCCCTCCTACCGCTGCTTCTGTTGCTGCTGCTGTTCTTCTTCTTCGTTAGTGAAGAGAGCTTGGTAACCCCGGTCCGAACCGCCTCCATCCACCGTTTATCCTTCGCTTTCTCTCCCCTTCTCCTCCCCTCTTATCACTGCCACTTCCTCTGATCTCTCTTCCTACTTCTTCACAGTCTCTTTTCTTTTTAGTTGTCTCTGTTTTTTCTATGTTGGGCACTCCTTCGCTTGTTCTCAGCAAGTGGTGGGTGCTTCATGCGGTATCCTCTCCTCTCATTGAATTGTCATGGCAGTCATCTTCTGCTACTGAGAAAGGGAAGAAGGAGGTGGTGTTTGGAAGGTGGGTGAGGAGGGAGCAGATGAGGGAGACTGCCAGAAAAGACAAAAGAGAAAGGGACAGAAGCAAAGGACAGGGAATGGGATGTGAAGAAAGCATAGATGAAATGAGGTGGGTGGTGATTTCAATTTTAAACAGGATTCTCCAGGACAAAAGCATGAAAACAAGCCTTTTTTTAAACTTCAGATGATTTTATGGCAGTTTAAAAAAATCAGATTTAAAAAAAAAAACAAATGCCAATGGGAAAAACAAGCCCCCCTATAAAAAAAGAGAAGCTGGATTGCCTCCACTGAGAGAGATAGATAGAAAGAGAGAGAGAGAGAAAGCAACAGAAAAGAACAAGCGATGGGAGAGAGCGTGCTCTAGTCCATTGCCATGGCAACAGTGAATTCCAAAGTCTATGGTGAAGCTGGCAAGTGTGCATGTATGTGTGTTTGTGTGTTTGTTAGTGCGCAGTGCTGTGATGGGGGAGTAAAGGGATGGATGTAACAACTGAGAGGATTTTGTTGAGATTAAAGAAAAAATAGAAGTGTGGGAATACTATTTGCATAGAGAAATGCTTAAATGTTGACACGGGCTGCCCAAACACACGGATTTATGTAGTGGACATGTATTCAACTCTGAAGATGAGGAATGAACATTCACAGGAGAGATGACAGACTTGTGAGTCATTTGTGCTGCGGTCACAGCATCTTGGCATGCTTCATCCATCCAACTTTCTTCCTGTTGGTGTGATAGCTTAATCACAAAAACTTAGCAATGGTTTTTACTTTGATATGAACTATGTGAATCTCTCACAGTTTAAAGATCAAGTGGGGATTTGACACTCATTCCAAGGGCATTCCAGCAAAGGATCTGCATTTTACCCTGAACTAACATCCTGCATTTCTACATTTTTCCTGGAGAGGACATTTACATCAGCTCTGACAAGAGGTCAAGTTTTACATCTGTTTGTTTTCATTTTCCTCCCTCAAGCTGTTGCAAAAACCACGGGGCACCCTAAGTCCAAATGAGAGGTGTCTGTGTCACCGCAGCATGAAGTATTAAGTTGTTTCATGTGAACAGCAGATGTAGAGCTCATTCACAGCACAAATTCGTGTTCTGAAATTAACCAGGAAAAGCAGCAATATCATGTTTAATATCTAAATAGAATCCTGAAATATAGGATCTGGCAAGGGTAATCACACTTCTTGGACCTTTGTATGTTTTTCCACGAATCAGCTAAATCCACCTAACAGTTTTCACTGGGATTTTAGTATGTTTTGATGGTGGACCAGGGCTGGTCAATGCTGCCTCTGCATTTTTTAAATATTTTTCCTTCCTTTAACACAGAAATTATGCTTGTGATAGAAGCTGTGCTAAAGCATGGACAGCATCCAAAATATTGGCCTTGTAGGACCAAAGCTGCCACATTGTGATTGACAAAATGATCGAATGGAATAATAATTAATACATGGCTTTCAACATTTTTTCACACATACAAGTCAGAAAAAGTTTGTTTGACATTTGCAATCCGAGCTGTAGTCAGAACTTTTTAAAACCACTTCTTGCTTCAGATAGAACTGCACAGTTTTCCTTTCCCAAAAAGTTCTTCAAACTCTTATTTTAGAAAAACAGGAGGTTAAGCCTGGTCAGACTGGATAATGGTTACCTTACAACTAAGATGAATTGTTGTGAGAGTTGTGAATTTGCAAACTGCCAACAGTACATCATACCAGAGGCCAGCAGTTGCTTTAGCTTCAATAGAGAAATATTTCAGACCAATGAAATGCAGTCACATGTATGAGGTCATCCAGAGGTGGAAGGTTGAAACGAAATAAATTTGGCTGCGGCGGTTTTAGGCGGAACAACCTATATTTCTTTTTTAAAAAGTGAGCCAAAGGATGGGATTTGCCTTTGTGGATAAGTAGCTAGTTCCACATTCCCCCCATCACCATATTTGGTAAAAGTTTGATTTATTGGTTGATTCCGCTCGTTGTGAAACAAATCAAGCTGCTGCTGTGATTGGCTAAAAATCTTGACATTTGAGGCCGGTACCCAATCAGCTTGAATAATTGTACTGAATGCCCCTTCCTTTTGCAAACTCTTTATACATGAGGCTTTCTAGTTCGATAAAGTGTAGTTCAGTTTGAATTCTTGACAGTATCAATTTGACTTTTGCCTGATTAGGATAATGGATGACTTTTACACTAAATATTGATCAAAACCATTACATTCTCAGTCTAGCCAGATATTTCTGGTCGTCCATCTGAAATATTATCCTGTAATCATGTTTTACACCTTTTTCAGCATCTATTTGGTTTTCTGGTAGTCTCCCACATCTGCTTCCCCCTCACCCACCTTCCAAACACCGCCTCCTTATGTTCCGCAGGCTTTTAAGGTTTCTGTAATTAAAACTTTACTTAAGAAACCTTTTCTAGATCAAAACAACTTGTTTAATTATAGACCTATATCTAATCTTCCGTTCTTATCTATAATTCTTTGAGACAATAGTTGTTAAACAAGTGTGTGAGCACTTACACCATAATAAATGTTTTGAAGCTGAACAGCTCTAGTTGAAGTCACTATTGATGTTCTCATGGCCTAAGATAACAGACTTTTATCTGTACTTGTGTTGTAAGATTTCAGTGTTGCATTTGATAGAGTCGATTATAATATTATTTTAAGGGTGGGCATAGACTGTATGATAAATTTTAATTGTTGTACTCAACTACAACTCGAACTCTACAATAAAACCACAGGGTTTCACAGTTCCCAGCTTACGATATATGTTCTTACACTGTACGATCCAATGCTCTGATGCAATCTATATTTAATTTGATTTTGACAGTGGGCAAGACACTATCTAATAGGGTAACAGTAGAGAACAAATGTGTTAAACTGAGAGTCTGCTTCTTTGTCTGCACCCTAGACTAATACATTTGCCCAGATTCCTAGAAAGAAGAGCTTTACCATCCAAACTGGGATAGATGTCATCTCTCCGTTTCAGAACAGGTTTTCCTCAAAATATCAAATAAGCCAAATATCAACAAAGCCTTCATAGTTTAGGGCACCACCTAGAGAATCAGCAGTTGAATGATAACATGCAGCTAAACATGTCATCACTGGTCAAGATATTATGGTATTTGTATAGAGAGCCATCAAAAGTTTGGTCACAAATGGGATTAAAAGAAAAAGAAATAACTGTCAAAGATGTGCGAAGATTAAAGCATAAATCTTCCAGAAAACCGTTGTCTTCCACTTCTGTCTTATTTTACACTTGAAACACAACTAGGGTATCTTTATTTACAAGATATTCCAGTTCAAAAAGATGGCTTAGCTAAAGAAGGGTGAAACCTAATCACCAGTGACCAACACACATGAGCTTAAGTTTTTAGACTGAGCCAAGAAATATCTGAAGAGAGAGTTCAAAGGTTTTATGGCCTGATGAAATAATAATGACCTGTGACTGAATGAGTAACAGACAGATCTCTACTTTAAGTTAGATGCCAGCTAGGTGGAGGTGTAGCACTGGTATGGGCTGGTATTAAGAAAAATGACCTGGTTGGATCTTTCCAGATTCAAGTTGATATTTTATTATTTTTACAGTCAACACCAGCATTTAAGAAAACTTCATGGCTTCTTTGTAACTGCTCTGTAAAACCAAATTACAGTCAATGTATCTGTCTGATTAGTTCATAACTGTGCTGACATCTTAAAATATTTAAACCCAACTTCGTCATTGCAGCTAAGTTTGTTTTAAATAACTTACATGAATTAGGACAGAGCAGCTGCCCAAATCTGTCTCTCCAAAAATGCCTGCAACCTTCCCTCCTTTGATGAGAACAGCCTGTTCCTGCTGCTCAAATTAAAAGTGCAGCTGTGAGCTCAGTGGCTCTGACAGCTTTAACTCAGTCCCAGTCGCAGGAAATCTGAACTTCTGAGAAGAAGTTTCAAACTTTATAATTAGTGTCAGGTGAGCTGAGATCTAAAGCTGATAATAAAGATAATACTGTCCAAAAGAAAAACTGGAGAAAAAAGTTTTTAGCAGTATATTAATTGACAAATCTATAGGCTGATAAGGGATTTCCTCAGGAAATCTTCTAAAACCAGAACTCAAGGACAGCCTCCTGAAGCTCTTATAAACCATCAACACCATTTATGTCAGGCCTGCCAAGTTACACCTTTAGATTTAAGTTTGTTTCCAGTCAAGTTTAAAGTCAGGTTCCTAAGGAAATCGTCAGGATAAAAGCTGCAGTATATATTGGGATCTATGTTAGATATATTGCACTTTTGTTTGTTCATAATTGGAGTAAAGCATAGCTGGTGGTTCTAATAATGCACTTAGATACTGCATATAACAGCATATTTAAAAATGGCTTTACTGCCACCTAATAACCTGCAAACAAAACATCAACATGTTTTACTATCCAAATGTGTTATGAAATGACTGACTCATATTTTGGTGTGTGATTTTTAGGCCATAAGTGGTGGTATCTAAAATTATATATTTTTATTGATTTATATTTTTGGTCTATTACATTTTTTTCCCGCTGAGTTATGTTAAATTAATATCAAGATTTGATTACGTTTAAGATTCACTCCAAAATATTTGGAGAAAGCAATCTGCTGAAAAGAGTGAGTAAAAAGAATAAGAACCACCAACTTGATAAATCCTTCCTTCGGAAAAAGATTTTAACTTATTAGTAACAGAAAACAAATAATGCATTTAATAGCATAGATTTGCTTTTCTGTGGAAGCTTTATGACTTCTTCCTAAAGCTACTGTTTTCTTTGTGTGTGAATTTTAATTTCAGAGATATTCTTGGGCTTTTGAGTTTTTAAAAGGTTTTTTTTTATTTTCAAAACGGAAAACAAATACTAAGGTTTCAAAATAAAAATATAATTGTATTACTGAAGAATTGCTTTCTTTCTCATCGTCTTCTGCTTTACCCCACACCAAATCACAGAGACTCCCAGACTGCCCTCTCCCCATACACTTCTTCCAGCTCTGCTGGGGAAAATCTAATGTTTTCCCAGGCCAGTCGAGATACATAGTACCTCCAGGTCATGATTCTGATTTCATGATCATAGGTGAGGATATAAAAGTAGACTGATCTGTAAATCGACAGTTTTACCTTTTCTCTTAGCTCTCTCCATGACAGACCTATGCAGTTTCTGCATTAAAGCAGCACCCACATGCTCCGTCTATCAATCTCCCACTCCATTCTCCCCTCACAGGACCCCAATATATGCCCCAAGACACTTAAGGTAGGAACTCTTATCCATCCTGAAGGAGACAACCAACCTTTCTCCAGTTGACAACCTTGGAGGAGTGATTCTCATCCTTTGCACTCAACTGCAAACCACCCATGTACATGCTGTAAGTCTTGGCAGGACGGAGCTGGTCTACTGTTTCAAGGCCAGTACAAAAAACCACACTAAGGCTGAGGTTCGACAATCAGCGGAACTCTCCACACCAGGACCCTGGCATAGGCCTTTTAGGGGAGGCTGAGAAGTTTGATCCCTCTATATTTGGAACACACCCTCCGGTTCCCCTTCTTATGAAGAATCGATAAGTCTTCTTGTTCAGCTTGATGGTATCCCTTACAGTTGGTGTCCAGCACTTGATTCTGGGATTTCCACCAAAACAGGCACAGCAGACCTTAGGACCACAGATACGGGCGGCTGCATCAACAAAGGAGGCAGAGAACATGGCCCACTCGGATTCCATGTCTCCAGCCTCCCCCAGAATCTGGGAGAAGCTCTCCCAGAGTTGGGAGTTGAACACGTCCCTTACCGAGTGCTGAACCAGATGTCTCCATCAGACCCTCCCTACTTGCTTGTGCCTGCTAAGTCTGTCTGGCCTACTTCTCTTCCAGCATATCCAGCTCACCACAAGGTGTGATCGGTGTACAACTCTGCTCATTTCTTAACCAGAGTGTCCAAGATATGCAGTCAGAGCTCAGAAGGTTAGACTGCAAAGTACATCATCAACTTCTGGCCTGGAGTGTCCTGGTGCCAAATGCAGTGATGGACAACTTTATGCTTGAACATGGTGGTCATTATGGACAATCTGTGGCTTGCACAGAAGTCCAGTAATGAAACAATGTTCAAGTTCAGAGCTGGGGGAACGTTCCTTCCAATCACCCTACTGGTGTTTCCCACTTGGGAGTGAATATGCCCAGCAGAATGATGGAATCCCCAGGAGGGGTGCTATCCAACACTCCCCAAGGACACTAAGAAGGCCTGATTCTCTACTGTCAACCTTCCCCACCACCCAGAAGGAGAAGGCAAGTGACCCTCTTGTTCACCGGGGTTAAGTCCAACTAGAGACAGCAAAGCTGGGTTGAGACAAGCAGACTTATCCCCTCCCTTTGTGTCTCCAAACGGGCCTCTCCAGAGTAAAAGAGTTCAGCAACTCTCAAGGAGTTGGGTTTCAGCGCCCAGCTAATGTTTGAAGAAGAGGCCAACTATTTCTAGCCAGTATTGCTCCACCTCGTGCACAAACTCAGACTCCTTCCTCCCCAGCAATTGACATTCCATGCCCATAGAGCCAGCTTAAGTGCCTGTGGATCGGGTCACCTCTACACAATCCTCTCTGCACCGGTCCCTCATGGTTTCACATCTAGATGGTTGCCCACTGGGGGATGGCCTTGCTCCGCTCCTCTGGGTCGGGCCTGGCCAGGTCCAAAGAGGTAGAACCTGGCCACCAGGCACGAACCCCAGGCCTGGCTCCAGGATTGGGTTCTGGCTCCACCATTTGACGTCACGTACATCGTACCTTGATTTAATTGTCTTTATAGGGGCTTTCAGAGAGCTCTGTTTGACCTGACACCCAGAGCCTGTTTGGCTTGGGAGACCCTATCAGGGGCATTTAAGCTCCAGCCAAAAATGCCTCTGTAATCATCCAGGCACAGAAACCTCTCCACCACTTTAAGGTGATTCAAGAACGGGATCGTTTTTTTTTTTTTTTTGGTCAGCTTTAAAACAGGTACTGTATGTTTGATTTGCAACCAAAAGCTGAACACCTTTTAAATATCTTATCTGGTGACAGTGAATTTTTGTGGTACACAACATTAATGCTCCCTAACAGTCTGATTAGAGCAAGTTAATAAAAATGTGCATAAAGGCAAAGTTTATTGGTTTCTAAGTTAAAACACTTCAAATGCTACACTTTAAGGCATGACAAAAGAAANGATTTGCAACCAAAAGCTGAACACCTTTTAAATATCTTATCTGGTGACAGTGAATTTTTGTGGTACACAACATTAATGCTCCCTAACAGTCTGTTGACAACAAGCAAATGGAACTCTGGAGCCAGGCAAAGTTTATTGGTTTCTAAGTTAAAACACTTCAAATGCTACACTTTAAGGCATGACAAAAGAAAGGTTATGTAATAAAACAGCTTGTTTAAATACACATTGTCCTGGACATGTTTCAAGTGAGTCTAATATAACTGACTCAAGATCTCCACCAACTCTTAACAAAAAGAATCCTTGGTTGATTGCATACTAAAAATGCTGTGGGAATATTTACACCAACAAAAACTGCCTTTAACAAAAGATGTTGACGTTAACAATAAATATTTTTCAAAGCTTCACTTCTCAGCTGTGGTGTCTTCAAATAAACACCTTGTTTTGCTTTATAGACATATCTGTGCACTTGCATGTAATTCTAAAGCATGGATACTTAATTCTTGGCAGATCGGCAAAAAAACTGATCTGCAAAATATATTAAAAAACTCTTATCAGCAGCTAAATATTTTTATTGTCTAATAACTACATAAAGAATCAGAAAGTAATCTTAACATTGCATTTATTTGGCTAGAAGTTTTTGATAATTGGTTCACAGCGTGAAAGCATATAAATCTAAAAAACGGCTACAAACAATGGCTTATTTCAGGTATGATTGCTACTGAGCTACAGAAAACAGGCAATCACTGCAGTCACCGCTAAAAATGAGAAATTCAAATTGGAGAAACATTCTAATGTGGCTTTTGACTTTTAAAGTTGTGCATATTTGCACTTTAAGCTATAGAACTTTATGTGTATACTGATTTAGAAGTATTTTCTAGTATTTCACTTTTGACCAGAGGTCATGATAGTGGGAAGAGAGAAAAATTTAAAACAAGATTCCTGTTTGCTCTCATAAAATATTTCACATACTCAAAGTGCATCAGCAATAATTGTAATTCTCCACATCATAAACCTTCTGCTTATTTAAGTCTGATGAGCAAAATTTCAGACAATTCTGAACCAACAGTACAAAAGACATATCTAAAGGGGTTTAATATCTGTCTTTAAACTTCCTAAACAGTAATTGTATTCCACTATAATAACTGTCACTGCTCTTAAACATTCCCTTTTACATATTTTATTTTGAATAAATTCTGAATTGAACATAAAGCTAAGCCCTGCTAGGAGTTTTTCTTTCTGAAAAGAATGAAAGTAGAATTCAAAGTTAATTTGAACTGAAATCAGTTAACTGATAGTAATAGTTATTGATGATTTTAACAGACATGTTTCATACAGATTATTAAAATATTCTTAAAAATCTGTGTAGGTTCTCCAACTGTTATCAAATGTATAACATCTTTCATTGACAAGATTAGTGTCATTCCAGAAACATTCATTCCAAAGGTTCCTCTTTAAAATAGAAAGAAAGTCCTCAGTTCTTAACACCCAAAGCAGATTTGGATTAGGAATAGGTTTTTAGGTTTAGGCAAAAAAAAAAAAAAACAAATTCAAGAAAAATCTATACAATAATGTATCTGTTGTATAACTCTATGCATATACAGTTTATCTCCTACATAACGAGCTGCATTTGTAGGTCATGATACAAAGACAAAAAGTGAAAACAATGCTGATCATATTTACGTTGTCTTTACATGTATTATCAATGTGGTGGTAAAGCAGGATGGTATCATGTCATATATTAACATTTTAGCACACAGCGAAAATTAGACCCTGCAGCAGTCATACCCTTACTGGAGAGGTGGGGCATCTCACCAGAAAGGGGCGGGGGCTTCTCACAGAACAGGGTAGGTATCAAAATATAACGGATCATAAAGGCTCAAGAAAAACAACAATTCTAAAGAGAATTCATCATATATTTAGAATGCAAATTTAAAATTGTTACTTGACATTAGCAAAAGTAGAGCCTTAAAGATTTGATATAA